GTGGCGGCTGCTTCCCCCGGAGAGGCTCCCCCCACACGCCGGGGGGCTGGGGCTGGGGCTGTCACCTCGGCAAAGCCGCCCTGGCTGATGAGCGGCGAGGAGGCAGCAGGTGCAGGAGCTGAGCACGGAGGCCGGGAGCTCTCATGGAGAGGGCACTGTGCCAGGCTGGCAGGTCCCAGCGCTGGGAAACACGAGGGGAGGAGTCCTGGTCTCCGCGGTGCCAGGCTGGAGGCCCTCCGGCTTGGAGCAGCTGCCCTGGGCATCGTGCTGTACCTCCTGGTGCTTGGCAGGGGGCAGGAATCCCGTCACCTGCCCGCTTCCAGCCCCATATAGGCCCTGCACAGTGCCCAGGGCCCACCTGGTCCTTGGCACGAGCACCTGGCCGGGGACACTGCGAGAGGCGACTGAGAGCACCTCGGTCACCAGCATGGGTGGGACGAGGCGCAGGGGCACAGGCCCAGCGCTCTGCTGCCTGCTCTCTCCAGGTGGCCTCAGCACCAGCGCGGGCCGAGCTGTCTCGCCTTGCGCCAGCTGCTCTCCGGGCACCCCTGGTTGCAGGGGGTGGGCAGGGTGGCTAATGACTCGGGCAGCACAGAGGGGCTTTGGCCTGGATGGCGTTAATGGGCTGAAGTGGCTGGGTGCCTGCAGTGCTCCCCCAACACCCGGTGGGTGTTTCTACCTGCACCCCCTGGCAGCCGTCAGTCACGAACCTGGCGCCTTCGTGGGACTGACTGTAGAGGCCGGGGCAGGAGTGGCTGACACGCCTGGCCTGCCCTGGCTGCCAGCTCCCCAAGGCCGGCACCCCAGGGCCAGAGAGACGGACGGAGCAGTGTCGGACGCTCACAGGGCAGGGCTGGCTGCTCCCTGGCACACACGCACCTGGGCTCTCCCCTTGCCCCAGACCCACAGCTGAGTGTCGGGACCTATTGCACGCACAGCGGCAGCAGAGCTCAGTCTGCAGAGCCCAGGCCCCTCTGCACAGACCGTTCCCAATGAGTACCGGGGCACTGGCGCTCCCCTGCAAATGCGCTTTGCAGGCGACCTGGTCTGGTTCTGCCCTGACTCCCAGCAGAGCCATCCCGGGCAGCAGAAGCAGGGACACTGGCTGGAAGGAGACTGGAGGGTCTCACCTGGTCTGTCACCCCAGGTGTTGGGAGCCGCAGCCCTGGCAGGAGAAGAGGAGCGATGCCCTTGACATTCCCGGCCTCCCACCAGCTGCTCCCTCGCGCGCTCTCCCCTCACCATGATATTTGCAGGCTTGAAAAGCAAAAGCAAACACAGCCCGCCTGGGCCACCCGAGGGCACAGGGATGCTGCAGCTACCCAGCATGCACTGGGGCCCATATGCAAATCGCCTGCTGCAACACCTGGGCTCAGCAGGTGTTGCAGTCCTTTGCCTTGCCTGTCTCTGCAGGGTGGGGGGGGGAGGGGGGCTCTGCTCCCCAGTCCCTGGACTCAGCGGGGGTCTCAGCTGTGGCAGCCCTGGCAGACAAGGCACAGGGCATTGCCGTGGCTCCAGGGATGGAGCAGTGCAGCAGAGCACTGTCAACACTAGGGCCCTGGCAGCAGAGCGCCAGTTCCCTTGAGCTGGGCTCCCCCCACTGCCTGTCTGGCTCTGGGGCTCCTCCTTCAGTGGAGCTGAATCCTCAGTGTAATGGGTGCTGCACCACCGCGTGCCACGGAGACCCCGACCCCGACCCCGACCTGGCTGCTGGGAGGTGGGCAGGCGCCCGGGCCTCAAAGCAGCGGGGCCAGGGCTCTGAGCCAGAGGGAGGGAGGTAGGCTCTCCAGGGGCTGGTGCTGGACTCCAGGGGCCCTGAGCCTGCCAGGACAACCCTGCCCTTGGGGGAGCTGGTGGGGCTGGGGCCAGAGGGGGCCCTGGTTGCCCACATTTAGCTTCCCCCTGGGCTGGACTCTCTGCTGCTTCCCGGCCTGATGAGGCAGGCGGCAGCTGGGCCTGGTCCTGCCTGCAGCCCAGCTGGTACATGCTCCTCGAGGGGCTGAGCCCTGCAAGTGTGGGGGGGGGAAGGGGCAGGGGGCTGAGATCCCCAGGACCGGGTCTCCCCCTGGACCGGGCCACGGGAAAGGGGTCACATGGAGCTGCAGCTCAGGCCAGACGGCTGGGCTGGACCCTGCCCCGGGGGAGCCTGCAGCCACCGCAGGTACCTACCTGGGGGTGCCCGCTGCCTCGGGCCAGCTAGCACGACAGGTCCTGCGCGCTGGGGCCGGGCATCGGGGGAGCTCACCGCCTGGAAGAGAGGGGACAGGGTGAGGGCAGTGCTGGCTCCGTTGCCCAGGAGCCTGGCCCGACTTTCGCCCCCCGCCAGCCCTGGCCCTGCTCCGCTCCCTCTCGGTCCGCTCCTCTGGGGAAGGAGAGCACCTCCCCGCCCTGCTCCGCTGGAGATGGAGGCTCAAGGGGGCATGGAGGACTCCCCTGGGGCAGCCTTTCAGCTTGCATCAGTGGAGCTGGCAGCAGGCCTGGACCCCGCTTTCCCTGGACCCCCTTCCTGGGTGCAGACAGGCCCAGGGCTGTTGCAGCGCCTGGGGGTGCAGCCAGGCCCTGGTGCTCCATCCTGGTGCGGCACAGAGTTGAGGAGTGGTGGGAAGGGCATCGTGCCCCTTGGAGGAGACAGGGCATGGGACGCCTGGCAGGGAGCAGGGAGCAATGCCAGATCGGGCCCCTGGGCAGACACGGCTTCCAGGTGCTCGTGTCCCAAAGGTGCACGGGGGCCTGTATTCGGGAGATGCGAGCTCCGAATCGGATGCCTCTGGGCTTGGCCCAGACACTGCGGTGCCTAGATCGCCCACCCCTAGGCAGCCTGGCCCCTTGCACGTGGGCTAGGGTCTCCATGACCGCACACGGCAGCAGCAGGGCTGCAGCAAGCTCCACCGTGTTCCCTATGTGGCACCACTGCCTGAAGTCAGCCAGGCCTCTTGAGCACCATCAACGCATCTGGTGAGGCCAAGAGCTGCTCCTGGTGGGCAACTGTCCTGCTCCCGGGGTGGGTGGGGGCTGGCAGCCATGCAGGCAGGGCGCTCAGTCCCTGCACAGGGGAGGTGCCACGTGCTGTGGCCTGAGGTGTGGAGGGAGCCGGGGCAACTGCTGAGCAGAGCAGGCCAGGGCCAGGGTTGAGAAGCACTGATGCGGGGTGATGGTTGTGACCAGCGGCCCTGGCCGGAAGGGGCAGGAACAACAGTCCCCCCGCCCGCCAAAGCCGAGATGTGAATGGGTCGGGGAGACCCGCTGCCTCCCTGCTCCTAGAAGTGGTGCCCAGGCAGCGCCGAGGAGGGTGCGTGAGGGGCTGGGGCCAGGCAGGGACACGACCCCGGGGCTGGCGATCCAGCCCCATCACCCCACACCACCAACCCCTGTAAAGCCGGGGGGACGTGGGTGCGCACTCCACAGGCCGTTCCTCCATCGCTCTGGTGCAAAAGTGCATCATCACCCTGCCCTAGCAACATCACACCACTGCCATGGCAACCTGCTGTGACATCACCTGCCAACTGCCTCCTGACAGCAGAGAGCACCCTCCCAGGGCACTTCGCGGCTCTACGGGGGCAGATGCATGGGCACTGGGGCAGGGGGAGGGGTGCATTGCCAGCTCCCCTAGCAAGGCTCCCTGTCCCCTTCTGAATGTCTCTCCAAGGCAGACGTGGGCTCCTTGCTCCACGGGGAAGGAGGGAGGCTCAGGAAATTGTAGATAAACAGATGACCCCAGGGACCAGGGAACAGCGCAATTAAAGAGCTCCTGCTGCACCGCGGTGCTAATGGAGGGAGCCTGCATTTTTAACAGTGCTAAAGAGCAAGGGCGGGCTGTCACTGCCGCAGAGGCAGGAGGCCCCATTCCCGCTCTGGATTCAGGGCCTGTTGACCCCCCTGGCAGCCTGCGATCCTCCTTGGGGGTGTCGCAGCACCACGCAGACGCTGCGGTGATGGCGGTGTCTGCAGGCCTGTGGTAGCAAGCAAGGCGCTAGTTCAGGGGGGTGCTGAGGGCTTGGAGAGATCCATCCCAGAGAGCAGCAATCATTATTAGCTCAACCAGAGCTCTCCCTGCTCAACCATGAGCTCATGCAACTTTCTCAGGGGTACAAGACGGAGGAGAGGAGGACGTGGGGCAGAGCCAGGGAAGGTCTGTGCACAGAACTGCTCAGACCCGGTGGGGACAGGTGCCCGCGCTGGGGCTGGGGCTGGGGCTGGGGAGACCGCAGAGGGGTCAGAGATGCAGCAGCGGAGGCCCTGTCCTGGAGGCAGCAGGGCAGCTGTGCAGAGGGACCCGCGTGCAGGACAGTCCCGAGACTTGGGGCTGCTCCGTGACCCCAGAACAGACGGAGCAGCTGGGAGCAGGACACAGGCAAGCGCCAGGATGCAACGCCTTCACCGCCAGGTAACCAAACACCGAACAGCTGGCCAGGGGATCTCGGTGCCATCTCCATGGCAATCCGGAGACCGCCCCCTCCCTGTGGCTTGGCATGCTGGGAAGTGTGGCATGGTCACTCTTTGACCCCTTCGGCTGGGGTCCCTGGGGGCGCCTGGTACCGCTTGGATGTGGCCCCGTACGACAGACTCCAGCAAGCGGGTGCGAGCAAGGGGGCTCGTGTCTTAGCAGCGGCCCCAGGATCACTGGGATGGGATGGACGAGCTCCTAAGGGGAGCTCAGCTCCTTGCTAAGGGCTGGGGTCGGGGATTCTCTCTGCAGAGGGGTCAGCAGGTCAGGCTACGACTTGATCCACATGGCATTGCCCGGGCCCCAGGGAGAGCAACCAGCTGCAGCGCTCCCAGCTGGCAGCTGGGCACCAGGACCCAATCCCAGGCTTCAGCCCCTTTGCACCAGTAGCTGGGCGCATCCCCTTTCCTGCTTCCCCAGAGACTGGCCCTATGTGAAGAGGATGGTGCTCAGCAGTGGTACAGGGAGCCCCTTGCTCAGACACCAGCCAGGGCATCCTGTTCATGTGGTCAGGGTCTGTGTGCCGGGGTCCGGCCCGTGTGTCTGCCAGATGTGTGGCTGGGCAGGGCTGGCCACACGAGCCAGGCAGGCTGGGGCAGTAGCATGGAGGGCTGCTGGGATTGCCCAGGCATCTCCCCCCAGTCAACCCCCTGCCCTTCCAGGGGCTCATGACTATCAGCCCCATCCCCAGGGATCTGCAGGGGGCTGGCTCCTTCCACCCAGCTCTGTGCTGAAAGCCAACGCCTTGCTCTACTGAGCTCCATGGACGCGGGGAAGGAACAGGCCGGGGAACGCTGCATGGGGCGTCTCATGCCAGTGCTCTCCCTGGTGACAGCCAGAGTGCTCCTGACCTTTCCACTACCCTGCGCCAACCTCAGTTTTGGGCCTGGCAGAATCCAGATATTTTGGGGGTGCAAAGCAGGGTCCTGCATCAGCTCGGCTCAGGTGAAAGACTCTTTGCCTCTCTGTTCTGCTGACCCAAATCCTCCCCTCTCCTGCACATCCACCCACGGAGGGCAAAGGGTGGGAGGGCGCGTGTCACCCAGAGCATCCCCCAGCTTGCCAAGGGACTGGTTTCAGCCTGCATGCATTTCTACAAGCCCATCCCATTTTGTGCACCCCTCACATCCTGATCTCAGGACACTTCTCGACGGGGGCTGCAGCACCCCAGGGCGCCGCGAGGTCCTTCTACAGGTGCCTCAGGGAGCTATGCCATGCCAGCGCTGCCAGGTGGGCAAACACCTACACATGATTCACAAGTTAAACTCAGGATTTCAAACAGTAATCTGGAGTGTCAAGGCCAGTCGGCGCTGCTGTGGGCTTGCTGAGCTCTTTGCAAGAGAAGAATGGCTCTGGCATTTTTCTGTCATGAAAACAACAAGGAAAAGCTCAGAGCTGGCATTTTCTGGGAGGGCCTGGAGGCTGGATAGGTTGTGAACCACTGCTTTCTAACCACTGTGCATCTCACAGCACTGACGGGCAGCCCCCCTGGGCTCGGCAGTGACATTTGTCTGGGTGTCTTCAACAGGGCAGTTCCTACCTGGAGCAGGTGCTGGCCTAGCTGAAGCCTCCTGAGGCCCTGCAGCCCCGGGGCTCGGGGACTACATCACACCTCGCTAGTACTTATGGCTCCTGTTGTGGTAGTGGCTAAGGCTCGAGGAGGCTGCAAAGGCACTGCCGCTCAGCCGGAGACCTGGGCTGAGGTACGGGCCGCTGGGAGCTTGGTGCAGGCTGCCAGGCTCCCCTGAGGACCTGGGCACAGACTCAGTCCCAAAGCCCAGCTCTGGGTGCCTGCCTGGGCTGCCAGCAGAGCAGCGAGGGCAGCACAACCTTCCTGCCTCGGTGAGCAGGCGTCTGTAGCGCAGCAGGATGCCAGGGAAGCTGGTTCCTGCCAAGCCTCTTGCTGCTTTCCAGGGAAGATGGGCTGCCATGAGAGGCTGCGCGGCTCAGGGCCAGGCGCCCGGGGTTTTACGCTTGGCTCTGCCACAGCCCTGCTGTTTGACCTTGGATGGGTCACGCCGCCTCCATCTGCCTCCTGCCCGGTCTACTTCAGCTCTGGGGCTCAGGTCTCGGACACCCGGACAGGGCCGGACAAGTGGAGCGCCTCCCTTCTTGGCTCACCAGGCCTCTTGCCTGGCCCCACTGCAGGAGGGGATGACACACAAGCCCTCCCTGGACCTGGGGAAGGACCCTGCACCCCAGTGCTGGCCTGGTGCCCCCTCCCTGCAGCCCATTTCTCCTACTGGGGACAAAGGGGTGCAAGGCTGGGGAACTCAGCCCATCCCACCCAGCCCAGAGGACTGCTTGCCTGCCTTGGCAGGCCACAACGCACTCACCCCCCGCCCACCCCCAAAGCCTTTGCCAAGTCCATGTGATCCCCCCACAACCACATGCAGCAGCTGCACCTCCAGTCACCACCTCTTACCAGGACACCCCTGCACCATCCAGCCCAGCTGCCTGCAGAGCTCCTTCCCCTTCCCTGGTCCAGCTGGACTGACCCCCTCTCCCAGGCCCCAGGCATTATAGCCCTGGAGTGGGCAGAGCCTGGATCTTAAAGGCACTTTCCCCCTTCCCCTGTCTTCCTGCACAGGCCAGGGCAGGGCTCAGGACGGAGGTGCCCGAATGCCTGAGTGGCGTGAGTCCAGGTTTCTGGGGCAGGGGCTGTGTACACTGCTTCTGCTGCTGCCGGGGCTCTCTGTCCTGCTGCTCCAGCAGCGACTGGAGAAACCCGGTGCCGTTCATTCCCTCTCCCTTGCAAACTCTGTGAGGAGCCGCGTGGGGCCTGCTCCTCCTGGCTGGCTGCGAGCT